CTGCGTCCCAAGGCGGCAGCAGAGCCGAAAGCCATTAAGGTCTCAAGATCATCCCTGCCAGAGTAGCTTGGCGGCCGCCAATTAAGACGCTGTGGGATAATATCTAATAAACCAACTGGAATGTATCTGTGGGTGTAACTAAGCCACTCTAACAGAAAATGCCTAGTTGTTTCCACGCCTGTACAAATAACTTAGAATTAAGAATTAGACAGAGTGTAATGTCTTTTTTTTTAATTTTTTTTGTCTGAGAGCATTTACATACATAGAACACAATTCTTATGTATTTACATATCTCACACCTAGACTTTCATAGTTACACACATTGCACTCAAATCTTTAATATCACATAAAAAATAGCACTACTTTTACTTTTAAAGTGAAATACACATTTTCAGGCAAAGTTTTAAACACAAAAGTTCTATGGCTGTAATTATGAAAGCTATGGAGTGAGATATGTAAATAGATAAGAATTGTGTGCTATGTATGTAAATTCCCTTCCTCCCCACCCCAACTTTATTTGTTGATGCGAAGCCGCTAAGATTTTGATGATCTCTTAAATAGCTAATAATTTCTAATAGAACTAGTCTTAAATATTCAAACAAATCAGCACAGAAAAATCATAATGCTTGCATCAAGTAAGAAAACTTTATTGCGGATGAACAAATACAAATCAAAATGTTCTACATTGAAGGCGATATCTGGCACGATACATGATACTTTCAGAAGTTTTAAGTTCATTCACAGCTTTCAGGAAGCATAAAATTGAATAACCAGGCGACTTTATTTTTTGGGAGAAATCTTGGGAGGACAAACTCTAGTTAACATTTTGTGTGATCCTCTTCGATTCACATATCATATGCAAAAAGCAAGCTGCAGTTGGTTAATAAAATAAGAACAGAATTCACAAAGCCTGATTTGGAAAATTCATGAAAAACACCGCCATTGCAATCACACTGATAACTCTTGCACATTGCTTGCCTTCTCCTTAAAATAACTTCTCCAAGAAAGAGAGGCTAGGCTTCAAGGCATATATTTCTAGTAAGTGCAGACTTCCCAGCAAGTCTGTTCTTAGCTATAGAAACAATGGCAATTCTTGCACATAGCTTGCCTTCTCCTTAAAATAACTTCTCCAACAAAGAGAGGCTAGGCTTTGTTGACCTCAATTTTTTGTGAGGTCTAGTATTCCTCGTAGGAGTTGGGATCTAGCCTTAAAGGTCTTCCTGCGACTATCTTAAAACCTTAGAAATGGGACCCGCCTCATTCTAGAAATTCAACCCGCTTCGGTACTCTTTTGTGGTCTCGCGTGTGTGGTATCGACTTCTAACACTTAGAAAGATGAAACCAACATGAGGAACCTAAAAGGGATCCCTATAGGACCTTTTGAGCCTTAGGGTGGCCTTTTGTACAATTCGCACTCTCGCGCACAAGCTTCGCAATTCGGAGAGTCGATACGTCCGATCGCCGCAATTCGCATTGTCTGCATTGAATGACCCAGTATGATAAACCGACTAAAAAAAAACTGGGTTCGAGTTGACTTGTTTAAATTTTGAGTGAAATTTGAGTCTGAATTATTGTCGTGTTTGATTTTTCAAGTCGGATTCAAGCTGACCTGCCAAACCCAAACTTAACAAGAAATCAGCCCGTTTAATCAGGATGGTTGCCAGTATGATAAACCGACTAAAAAAAACTGGGTTCGAGTTGAATTGTTTAAATTTTGAGTGATGTTCGAGTCTGAATTATTGTCGTGTTTGATTTTTCAAGTTGGATTCAAGCTGACCTGCCAAACCCAAAATTAACAAGAAATCAGCCCGTTTAATCAGGATGGTTGTGATCTCTCTTGTCATGACTTTAAATTCCTAATTCATTACCCCTTGTTCCCATAAAAAACTTGCAATGCATCATCCATTCCTCTCTGCACCAACATAGCACCTATTTCCTCTTATCCTCTCATCCCCCAAACCCTAGCCCTAAAATAAAACCAATGATACTAGCAAGGACTTCAAAGATCAAGAGCCTATAACTTACTGACACTACTTGCTACATTGTTTTCTAAAAGTGTTTCTTCTACTAATTTCATCTCCAACGTATGATTTCCATGGCTTATGAAAAATAAATTTTGTGACGCCTACTGTCCAATGATGATTCACTTTACTTCTTTTATGAGTTGAGTGTCGAAAAAAGCTCCAGAGACTAAAGGATTATCATAATGTATGCAAAGAGGAAAACAAAGAAAAGAGAACAATAAGTCATAGATGCATTGCTAAATAGAAAAGGCACATAAAGTTTTATATTGTGCCATCGATCCACACTATTTATATCCTCAATCGACGAGCATCGAGTTTGTTTACCCATACATAATATGTTGCTTGTAGTCATCAAAATAAGAATAATGATAGAAGTGTCAAAATGATCCCCTAATTCTTCGTAGAGTTTCATTTTAGTCCAAGAGTATACAAGTGTCAATTTAGCCCCTAGATTGTTTTAATTGAGGCTAAAATAGACATCCATATCTATTTAAACCCATATTAAAAGAGTCGCATAACTAATTTAGCACTTCTATAAAGTATGAGACTAGAATGAAACCATATAAGTGGTCAGAGAACTATTTTGACACCTTGCTCCATTAATAATCCTCTATCTTGCAAAACACTTCTTTTAGCTCCTATACCTATAACTTACATCATTCCTTCTTAGATTGACTATAGCAAGTGTAATCCTAATTTGATTTCCAGACTCTGTTGCAAGACTTACGAGCACTATAGCACTTCATAATTTCAGCAATTTTGTGTACTAGGGGGGGCCCATTTAAGGGAATACAAGACATGTAATCGGAGGTTCTTTGCTTCATTAAATTTTTGGTATTCTATCAATCTAAGATCACTGCTCGTTCGTTCCTTCAAATGTGATGTAAGTGTAGCTGCCAAATTCTGGAAGAAGTCAACTTGAATTTTCTTTGCAGCGGTAAATTCTTATACTATTCCTTTTTCTGCTAAATATTTTGTTGATGATCAATGCAAATGAGCTTGATTTTAGCAAAATTTATGGTAACTTGATTTCTTAAGATATCAATCTCAATCAACTTATGGCCTTGCGGTTTCAATTTCTCGCCAAATTTATTAGATTATCATTTTGCACAAATTTTACACATTTTGTTGATTCTGAATATGTAATTAATTTTGGGCTTTGAGACTGCAAATTTCATTGCACACTGATAAAATTTACTAAGCACGCACCATGTCATCATACCTTTCGTATCAGAGCCCCAATGTTCAAGACCAAAATTCACAAAGTCCCTAAAAATATTTAACCGCTCTCCTGAACTGATATCCCAGTGCCTTTGTTCCTTAATTTCAGTAAATATCCAAGGCTGAAAAAAAATGCAATTAAAATAATCATAAAGCTCTAGAAACCTGACAAAAGAAACTAAACACAGAACAAACGAAGGTAGAGTTTACCAACCTTAATTAAAGCACCACGAGCAATCATGCAAGTAGAAAGTTCAGGACAATCAGCCATATGCTTATTGTAGTCACAATATGAAAAAATATCACCATTTCCAAGCACTTGGAGACCGGTTGGAGCATTATTTGTGCACTGATATATATAATTCCAGTCAGCAAGCTTGCTATACCGTTGTTGTCTGGATCGACCATGTACAGTTATTGCGGTCGTTCCCCAATCATAAATATCTGAAATAAGGGAATCAATTCGATTTCTTCCTTCAAAAAAACCGGTTCGAACCTTAAATCAGACAAAAAAAATTAAAAAGAAAAAAGACATAAGAATGCAGTCAAAAACATACATAGAGAAACTGGAAAGCAAGCTAAAAATAAAAAAGTAATTCTCTTTGAATTAAGAAAAATATGAGAAAAGTGTGAAAATAGCTGCCCTGACTTTTGTATAGTCATTTTAGCCCCAAAGTCTATAGAAGTGCAAAATTAGTCCCCTGACTTCTTTAATAGAAATGATCTTTAATCGAAAAGAAAGGGGCATCCGTGGGGATCATTTCAGCCTAAATTAAAGGAATCTAAGGACTAATTTGACACTTCTACAGATTCTAAAATGAAAATAGCCTCAAATTAATAGTCAGCACAACTTCAGTACTTTACTCGGAAATATATGGTCACAACATTTTGGACAATTTCAAATTTGTAGGCTTATCAAGCTAGAGGAATCGACCTTAATAGTTACCGGCCCCTTGGCTGTTCCACTGGCTACTTGAATAATGCTCTTCATCCTCATGGGTTTCGTAAGAAGAGAAGATCCAGCACCTTTATTAACAATAAGATCAATAGGACATCCCATATTGATGTCGATAAAGTCAACTTCACATTGTTCATCAATAAGTTCAATAGTGCGAGCTATGGAGTCTGGATATGCTCCACAAATTTGTACCCCAAAAAAGTCCTCTGACGAGTGTCTCCTTAGTAATGCCCATTCGGAAGCTTGCCCCTATATTTCATCAGAACCCATCATTAACATAACATAAGTAGATTTGAATTTATTTAGGTAGACTTGAAAACTTATAATGTGTGAAGGTTAATTTCCATATTGAATGTGCCATGTGAATAATTACATTAAAATTACCACTTCGAACCTCGTTTGATGTAACAAATTTATTTTATTTCGACCAGCTTAATCAAATTTTTTTAATATCATAAAAACTTCTAAACGTAGAAATTTAGAATTTAAAACACATTTTATTTTTAAAAATGTTCAAATGGGTCCAAAAATTTGATCATATTGAAGAAAATAATCAAATAATACACGAGTTGGATATAAAGGAAACAGCTTCAAAAATATTTATAGGCGCATAAGAACCTATAAACTATTTATAAAAATAACTCAAATATTTAACAAATCAATAAATCACGAAAAAGGTGTTTAATGATTGAACACCTAAAGTAATCATGGTCATTCATTTGTTTTGTATATAGTGTGCCATTGTTTGAAAAAGCTTTTGAAAGCTACAACCCAAAATCTGTTTGCACCAACAAAAAGATTCAGACTTACATTTTTTTTCTTAATCTTTCAAAACCCACGTCTCAATAAATCGAGGCAAGGATTTTGAATCTTACTGTTTTCAAAATCCATTGATATATGAGTTCCTAATTGCAGCTATTATAAGTATATTAAAATAATTTAATTGGAACGCTAATAAAAATATTTAGGCTGCAAACTTTAAAATTTAAAATTTCATGATCATTCAACCCTTTTTCATACACACCGCTAATAAAAGGTGATTGATATCCCCATAAAACAAGGTTTCATGACCGCTCGTCGATCTCTTCACCTGCTGGTTATATTGCTTGGGCACTAAGTGTGTTATGATAAGAATTTCAAATAAAAAATAATAATAATAATTTGTGGACTCATTAGTATAATAGTATTATTATATTTCAAATTTAAGTACTATTAAACTTGCTCTTTAATCATACAGTCTGTGTTGAATAATAAGGTAAAAAAAATACATCACATGGATAAAAAACAATTTGGAGAATAATAATATTGCATCATAATAAGAATTCACTTGAGATTTTGTTCGCATAAATAAAAAAGACAAATATAAAGAAAATAAACTGAATTTTATCAATTGAGATAATGATGTCGACTTCCCATATTATGATAATGGTCATAATATCAAAAATGAAAACATCTGAAAAGTGATTATGGTTTGCCCGAGCCAACGGGAAGGCTCCTCCGCGGTTATTTAATCTCTTCAACAATTGAAGCATGCTATGGCAGCTCCATCCATAACTCTTCTTAAAAGTACACTTTAGGGTTTTCTAAATTCCTTAGGATTCCATTGTAAACCCCAGCGACAATCATAATCCCAAAGAAGATTACATGGAACATCAAAGTCATAACATTGTAAAATATAAGCAGTTAATAACATTTTAAAAATAAGGAATGTGTTCATTACACATAGTCATGATAAAAGAAGCAAATAAATAACATTGTAAAAAGCTATAAATCATTTCTAATCAAGCTTAATGTTAATATAAACATAATAACATGAAACATTATTAATTTAAAAGGTAATATATTCCAACGCTTGATATTTGCCTTTATAATATATAATGATAGATGAAAGATATATAACATGATTTATTATATAACATTTACATATGAAGTAAGTTAGTTTATTTTATTAAAAAAAATAAAAACGAATGAAAGTTTAAAAAATGAGTTAAAAATATAATTTCCTAAAATTAGAAAGAAAAGCAATGAAATTCGTATAAAATATAATAACATGATAAAATCGTATCACAAATATAAAGTGCTCATCAATACATGATTTTTTATCTTTCCCAATTTTGATTTTTTGAAGCCCAAATATGGTTGAGTGCAACAATTTCTTTCTTAATTAAATGAAGTGTTAGTGCATGCAGTGTTCGTTTGCCATAAACTTTGTCTAGCGCGTAATTGAGAAAATTTCTATACAATTAGCGATATTTGTCACATGATTTTATTATACTCTTCTTTATTTGAAACCTCCAAGATGGAATCAATTATTATTTTTATTTTTACTAATTTCGTTACTAGTAGGAAAATAATTTCTTCAGGCTCATCATCAATTATTGTAAATATTGCAGTTGAACTTGTTTCTTCAACATTTAATTTTACAAAGTAAATGCATAATACAAGACAATGAACGAACCCTAATAATTATTTATAAGAATTTGAATTGTATCATATAAAATATTTACCTTAAACTGTATTCTATATTGTTCTCTGAACACTAAATACACTCCATCATATCTTGATTTATAATTACTTTGGATTACAAGTATTACAGGCATCATACCACGGATTTCCTTCTTTTTTATATTCCTTCTATTGATATTTTGTATCATTATACTTATCCTAAAATAAAAAAAGAAATATAAGAGATAATTTGTATAAGTGGGAATTGATATATTGATTACCAATATTGATAAACAATCACATATGGTAATCTTAAGTAAATCTATAATTAAGCGGTTGTTTGGTTGAGTGAATTTATAGTGTATTGTAATTCTTCTACGGGAATTTGAGAAAAAAATGAGTTTGGTATGAAGAATTACAAATACAATGTAAAATATGAATGAATTTGAAGTTTAAACCGTAGTTCATTTTGGCTGATTTTAGAATTCGGCAGATTTGACCAAAATTGAATTACGCCATTCATGCAAAATGCTATAGGCAAGTCGGCGCCCCACGCAGCTTCCTGGCGGTCATCAGCAGCCGCCCACGGCCATTTCT